TTTGATTAACAATAACACTAACCTCAGTGGTAAATGCAATGCAATTTCCTGTGACTATTTCATAATAAATACCTCAAGTTTCCGATGACCTATGACCTTCTTCAGTTAATGTGAAGCAACGTCAGTAGCATAATAATAATAATAATAATAATAATAATAATATAGATTGAACATTAAACAGTGAGGCTAATATTAATGATAAAACAGTAGCACTGGATTACATAAATGCATTGTTTCCTGGGATTCCCTTGTGCAGTCCAGAGCATGGATGGCGGACCCTGACATTAATAATAAAAATATAAAGAGGTAATTACTGAATGCAAATACACAAAATGGCTATTGCATAAAAACATGTCGACCTAATTGTATCAAACACAAGGTCTGATTTCATGAAAGTCTTATGGATGACAACTTTAATGTTTTGCTGCACAATTTTATTTTCCTGGTCAGAAGCATGATCAACTCTTTGAAAATGCAAATAGTTTGGTTCAAAGCATTTCAAGTTGATTACTGCTGAACTCACAGTAATTCATCCTAGTTATTTCTTTTAGCAGATTGTTGCAGTTGAATTGGCATAATATACAGTTGATGCATTGATGCAATGAATGAATCGTTACACCCCTTGTAAACATCAGTTAATCCAAAATAATAAAACTGGGACACTGGCAGAAATGTGTTAATGCATTCTGTTAAATTTTTAATTTGTTTACGTTCTGCCATCTCAGTTATACATTGCATTTTGCATCTAGTTGATCCTCAAAAGATGACTTTCAAGTATGTTCATGAGCATTCTCTGTAATTTGACTCTAACAAGGACGGACAATCTTGTACACACTGACACAAGACACTGTACACAGTTCATATTGATATTTCATGCAAGAAATCCATAGGAAATCAAAGCTACTTGTACTGCTCTTATTTATCAGGTGTTTGACTGACTTTCCTTGTTATCTTTCTGAGTTCTCTCCTTGCACATTTATTAAAAAGACAGTACATGTCAATACAATCGATGTGCTCCGAACAGTACTTCTCTTCAGACTTCTTGATTGAGGTCTGAAATAGAAGCACACATGTTGGAACTGCCAGCACATTCCTTACAGCAAATGATCTCTGGTGAAAAACATTGTCGTTCTGATCTACAATGTATGAGATGAGACAAACTTAGCTGCATGATTACAATAATGCATTTCCTAGCAACTACTGTTCATGTCTACTTAACTAAACTGTGCTGAGGCAAACATTGGAATGGTATCAAATAAAATGGTGGTCTGAATGAGGGCACTGGGGGATTAACCGACTTTAGCTGATTCTTCAAAGAAAATAAATAAATAAACTCATCTATCACCAAGCAAATGCTTTGTTCTAAATGTTGCTTGTTAGAACACATGAATGTATGTATGTGAGACCAATGGATCCAGACTATCCATGTATAAGGATCCACTATACAGTATATTCAGTAGAAGGTTTCACTATGACCTTCTTCAGTAATATATATATATATAAATATATATACATATATATGGCTGTCTGTGTCATTTGCAGTAAGTATTTATAAATGAGCATTTATTTATGTCCCTCTATTTATGTATTCTGTATTTTCTGTAGGTCACAGACACTTCCACGCAGGCAAATGTAATGTACCCGCCCTCCCACACGAGTTACTTGAACACCATAAAGCAATAATCACCTACGTTCCCATTTTCCTCCTATACAGCTGCAATGCCATTTATCTCCTCTTAACTTCCTTTGATAGGTCATTAAATCGGTCTTGGAGCTGTAAGTAAAGCAGTGAATCATGTCGCAGGTTCCATCTGCTGGAATGCCTAATCTGGGGCAGAAGGGCCCAAGTACATATGGCTGCCATATAAAGTTTTATGTAATAATTGGCAGTGACGGAGGCATGAGGAGCATTCACCGAAAATTAAGTGATATCTGACAGAGATAGCGGCAGGGATACAGTGAGGGAGCTGGGCGAAGAATGAAAAGGAATGTACATCTGCTGCAAATCTGTCTCTCGCAGCTCCCCCGGCTTGAATGTTTTGCTCCAGATTTCAGAAATAACAACAACGTGTACTTCTTATAAAGCTAAGTCCTGGAACAGAAATGGAGGCTGAATCAGCATGTACAAGTATGAGTGGTGAGCCCTGTCCCGCCAGATGAGAACTTGTGTCTTTGCAACGTTGAGGAATTGCAAAGTTGTCAAAAGGAAGACTTCTGCAAATCTGCCACAAAGCATTTATTGAATATCTGGTTGGAAAACATTCCCCAATGATGTATGTTATTAGACAGAATAAAGAAAAAGTGGTGCAGGGTAATAGTCTGTATTGTCATTAAAATCATCCATTCAACCATTCTGATACTACATGTTCACTTTTAACTGCTCTTTGAAAGTACTAAATGTGTAAAATGACCTCTTCTTTGAGAGAGTTGTCAAGATATTACCTTTGAAATGTTGGCTACAACATGAAGTTGTGTGATTACGCAACAGCCCACTGGAAGAACGGAATTCAACTTTAAATGCTAATATAGAGTGCTGAATAGGGCATTAAAAAGTGCTGCCGTCAAGCCATGCTCAGACAGATTGACACATCGCTGACTGTGTGTCAGAGAATTCAGATGAAGTAACCGACGATCAATTTGAAGGGACCCACCTATTCATGGCTAAATCATTATAAGGAGTCCTTGAGGGCTTTGAAGGAAAAGACTTGAAGGAAAGCTTTGGATTATGCTGTTATAAAGCACTATGCTGTACCATTTATCCAAATTGCATACTTTTAAATAAAAAAAAACAACATTTTATAGGGTGATAATTGCACTGTTGGGCCATAAAACTCTTAAATCTCTTAAACAAACCTTTAGTGCTATTCACTTAATTGCAGTACATTACACAGAAGCTTGATGTGTGAAAAAAAAGAGCTCTTATAGTGGATTTTTTACTTTCACCTCTAATGTGTTTCTTGGTTTGTTTTGATTGTAATCAAGACAATATGCATGAGTTTTAAAAGTTGCTTAGTGTTAGTGTAGATGTCACCAGTAGTATTAGGAAGAGTAGAGGAGAAGAGGACACATTAACTTTTCATATTCTTCAACAGAAAAATTATTGATTTCTACAATGCTTAGAAATATTGCAACAAAAATAAAATGTTTAATTGGGTATAATGAATCCAACTTTTGCAGATGTAGAATATTTGACTTATTACAATAACAATTAACTGATTCAGAAAGTTAATCTCATCAAAGTTGAGGTTGTAGAATTACTTTATTTATATTGTATTATTGCTTTACATTATTTTGTCTATTCTGTTTCTATTTCATTCATCCAGGACTAAAAAGACATGTTTTAGTAACATTCAATTGCAATATAAAAAACACAGAAAGAGCAGATAAAGTATTCTAAAAAAATTTTAGAAGAAAGAAAAAAGAGTGTGCATGTGTCTTTTTGCAGTTACGTACATTTGTTAGTTAAATTCATTGTATTTATGTGCAGATATTGAACAGAACTCAGATTTCAGTTAGAGCAGGCTTTTAAGGTTACATTATTGAGATGATGGAGCCTTTTGTTTGTGCTTGAGCCAATAGAGCTTCTGCTGCACATATAGTCACACACTTACTGTAATTGGGCTCATCATTCATATACTAAAGTATGTATCATTAAATATATCTAAATTCAATTTAAATCTAATTCTGAGGAAATGCTTTTAAAACTATCAGTCAGTAATTAGGAAATAGCATTTTCACTCTGTCTATATAATAAGAAGAATTAGTTTTGTGCTCATCCCAGCAGTGTGGATAGTGTAGACTGGTCTACTTATACCATCTCAATGTGTACATCCGTATGTATGCATACTCTCACTTTTTAGGTAAAAGTGCATGTATGTTTGATCGTGGTGGGAGTGGTTGAGATTGTGCTCAATGGAAATGGAAAGCATTTCTGTGATTGATAGAGCAGATGATGAAAATCACAGCTTCAGTTTAAATTTGCATTAAAATGATACCTCCTTATAAATGAACCAACATATCAGAAATGCTCTTCATGCTGTGCCTTTCCCGGGAGAAAATATCCTGAATTACATGTATGAGCCACTTGTTTTATAACGATAACAATATAAAAATTTGTATGCAACTCTCAGAAAACTTTACTACACAACCAAACCTACTTACATGCATGCTAATCACTGACTTTCATTTCCTCGATATGCTAGGTATTAGCTACTGACTCAATAAGAGTGTGCCTTCCTTTGCATTTCTATCTTAGACAGCTGAAGAAAACCTGGTGTTTTCATCCTCAGGGCAAGGAATATTTGTTTTTTCTGTAACCTTCAGAGTAGCAGAGATGCCTGTAATGTCTGTCTGTGAAAAGGTTTTCTTGATGTGTGTCTCCTTAGGTACAGAAGCAAACATCATGAACATCCACACAAATATTTTACGGAATCTTTCTAATATTTACACAGTGAAGTACATCTTCAAGTGCAGTTGAAAACAACAAGGGCATAATGAGCAAGTTGTACTGTTGGTTTATATAATCTCTTGTTGGTTTTTGTACTTTTTTCTAAAGGTTCAAGTTGGAACATTATTCAGAAAAAAAAGAACTAGCAAGCAATTGTAATGAAAACATAACATGCACTGGTCAGTCCATTCAAAAAATTTGTAATGTTTAAATCAGAGTGAATAAATAACCTGGAAATTAAACATGTGTGTTATTGTGCTTTATAGTCTTAAAATTAACTTCAATGTGAATTTTCAGATCTGGGAGCTCAGAAATGCTTTATAAATTATTAAAGTACTCCAGTTATTATTGTCTTAATTATTATCTAAGACCGCAGTGTGCACTACCAGATGTGTCTACCAGTGTATTGTTTTCCCAAAAATGCATTTGATGAGATGGAGTCAAGATAATTATTGTGTTACCAAACTGCAATTAATAGTGTTTTACTTCTATTGTTGAAAACCGGGCTGAAAGTAATTTTGGTGTAAGCAGTTGTTTTTCTTATGATTGTCAGGGAATTTGCACGTTGGAAGGTGAGGAATACAGCGATCGAGAGAAGGGACCTGATCCGGAACCCGGTGCCGCTCATGCCTGAGTTCCAGCGCAGCGTACGCTTGCTGGGCCGCAGACCCACCACTCAGCAGTTCATTGACACCATCATTAAGAAATATGGAACCCACATTCTCATCTCAGCCACCCTGGGAGGTAAGAGAGGTTCACTGGTTTCATTTGCTCACTTCCATGCTTGATTAACAGTTTTTGCACACTGTTTTAAATGCTTTTTACACATGGTTTATGGTTTGTTTACATGCTTCATGTCAGTGAAATTACTTTATGGGTAAGGTTGGGGGGGCTCCGTTCAGAAAGATAATTTCTTGGGCTGCAAATAAGACTTGAGTTAGTCATTTTATACATTATTATTTAAAAACACAGATTTTTATATGAATATTAATTCCATATAGTACCTGCAGCATCTATAAAAACACGACAAAACACTTTCACCAGTTTATATAGGACCATTCAATGACCCCATATGATTTTACTGTGAAACTGCAACACCATGGTGTCTAGGATTATTCATCTGCCTGTTTGCAACAACGTCAAAACAGCTCAGTGAAGCAGTTTGAGGTCAAGTTGTTCTCCTGGGTGTTGAAAAACTCTCCCACAGCAAAACTGCAGCTACATCACAAGAGGGCAGGACAAAGCAGACTGTGTACTTTGTCACAAACCAACTGAATTACTTTCTTCCACAGCGAGATTAGGGCACCTTAAAGTGACCACAGTGAAAGACCAGTCGACTTACTGAACCATTTTGTTAGACATATTTGTGTCAGAGCAGCAGTTGCAGATGTAAGGTAATAAGAATGAAGAAACAGAACAGCACTGATGCATGAGTAGCAGCTTCCAATCCATTTCTTTGATGACAATGTGTGCTTAAACATTTAGCATTTGGACAAATAACCCAAAGATTTAAGAGTCCATGAAAGTCAAAATTTAAATCAGGCACTAATTGTTATTGGTTAGTTAGTATGATGAGGCTGTATGAGAAGTAAATGTAAACCCATACCTACATTTAAATATATAGCAATGATTATATTCAGGTATGTGGATTTGTCAGTTGTCCAGGGTTGGTGCACAGGATCCACTTGAGACTGACTGGAGAGAAGTATCACTCTATTCTGAACAGGTATTCCATCTTGTCTGGCTTAAGTGGATTTTCCAGCGGGACACCACTTGGTGCAAAACTTGCATCAAAGCTATGACAGGACTATCTTATATCCACAGTCACCAAACTCCATCCCCACTGAACACATGGGTACATTTGATAAGTGAAAAGGCAAAACATATTGTAACATCATAAGAAATAATGTGAATTCTCACAATCTCCAATAATGTGCACTTAAGGTGTGGCTGCCAGCTTGAAGCTGTCAAATACATTGCAGAGAACTCTTTCAATGAATAGTTTATGAGACGTGATTAGTATGTATCACGTTATACCTACATAATACCTTATGCATGTGGGAGATACAGTACATAAATCAACCAAAAGTGAAGTTAAGTGAGAGAGTGAGAATGAAGATTAAGAAAAACAGTATTATACTGGAAGTTTAAACATTAAAATATAGGTTTAACTTTGTAGTAGCCAATAGGTATTTCAGCTCCTGGCTGTCCTTAGGCTGGCAGTCAAAAAGCAAAATTGACATGTTCCCACAGGCAATATGAAGGGTTTGCAAGCCTTTAAAACTCCCAACATTAGTTTTCAGTTGTCTGTTGACCTCAAGCCAGAACTTAAATACTATTTTACACAGCCTTGTTTACTGCCCCACGCAACATTACATGCAAATAAGAACATAATGTAATCAGTAGTTTTACTTTTTACATCTACACAATGTGCTTTTTCCATACTGGGTAGATGGACCAAATGTGATAATGACATGCTAATTGCAGGAGACTTGCTAAGAACATCTTCTGAAACAGCTGCCTAAATGCACAAGGATCTGACAACACAGCTTCAATTTCATTCACAACACCCCAAGACCATACGTATGGTAATTGCATTTTTATGCACATGCAACATTAACCTGAAGATAATCTTTTTCGTAAGTAGTTGTACTCATGGACCTTTCAGGTAAGTAGGGGAGGGTAATTATCATACGTATTGCCCTAATGTATCTACAAGCACTGACTTATTTAAGACACACTTTAGGTGCATATTTTAGGTAGCCTATTTCAGAGAAGAAGTGCTTTTTTGATTGTTATTTTATAAAATCATTTTTATTATTTTTGCAATAATAAACCATCTCCCCAAAACCCTGCAATTGTGAGCAAATATATTTTTAAACTCACATTAATTTCCCAATTCCAAAAGCTCACGGAAAGAGGAATAAATGCCTCTAAAGGACGATTTCAGTTTTTGGATGTGCTTCCCAAAATAAAAGTTAAGCACCCCTTCTGTCCAAGTCTATATATAAATAGCTTCTCCCTTGAATTTCTTATCTTATCGCAAGCTCTGAGGGACGCATGAAGGCAGCTAACTGTGATTACTTTGCCAATTGCATTTCAAAGATATAATTAGTAAGATAATCTGCTCTTTTACTCAGACACTGCATTATATAATTGTATGCATGAAACATTGCCAGGTAGTCGCTGCAATTGTGTAAAATGTTGCACAATGTCACTTTGTAATCTCAGAATCAAATGCCTTAGAGAAATATTTGTGACACTTTTGTCATGTTTTTCCACTCCTTAATAATGCTATACAGATATACTTTGATCTTTGAACTTAACACATGCTAACCTGGTTTAATTGGGGAGTATTTGTTTCATTATATCATTTTAAAATGTTGCAGTCCACTTAATGTCAAACAGGCTTTAATAATTTAGTTAAATTGTGCAGAGGAATATCAGGTGTGAACAGTTAGAGTTGCAATATCGTATACACCACTCTGTAAGGTGATTCATGCTGGAACACTAATTCTGGAAATTGGAAATACAATATTGGACCGAAACATTATATGGTAAAATGTAATTAAGTGTGTCTAAGCTAGTAAGAATGCCACTGCCACTGATGCACCAGGTGGCTAAAATTGGACAGTTGAAAAAAACATTGTCACAGAAATAATTGCAGTATCATTTTCAACCACAGCATCCTGCTTAATCCCATTTTATTGCATCACCTTATATGTTTCCTCTTCACATGTCGTGCCTTTCATTATTTTTTGAACCTCTGGCTCATATTCTGTACCTCTGAATTATCCCCGTGGTATCTTTAACCTTTGTTTCAAGTTATGGGTCAGCACACTCTTATCTCAATCTTGAGATTGCCCATTAAAGACCACAGTTATATGAACCAATAAATGTGCACACCAAACTAGTGATAAAGTAAGAAGGAGAGGCTAATTCTCTCTTTATCCACCTACACTTTCTGGTTTCAAGAGTCATTATACAACTGAGAGGAAAGAAGTGAATTCTCCTTCTCACAGGCAACTTAAAGTGGTTAAGTCTAAAGAGCCTATTAGAGGTCCTCCTCCTTTGAACTGAATAGAAATGGTTACAATGCATGAGCAGTGAAGCAGAGTTATGTTACCTAGCATGTTTGCTTTCTTTCTTCATGAGCGTACTGGTTGTGCAGGGCGTCAAACAGCTATTATCTTTATATTGCAACATTTCATTTAGTTTAGTCTTGATAAATGATTGAAACCTAAGTGACAAATACACAGTCCCACATTTCGTTTGAGAAAACATCCCATATGAGTCTTATGCAGGTGTTTTCTGATCTGGTAAGCTTACAGTTAAAGGTACTGTGTGGAGTACCTGACCACTAGTAGTGCTATGGAGCAATAAAGTGGGCTCAATGATTGTGCAGATGCACATATGATGATATATAGTCCTGGCACCAGTAATCCACTGACCAACATTTGTACGGGGCTTTTTAGGGCTACTATTACGTGTAGCTATTATAGTAAAGTAAAAGGGACGGGCAGTGGTATATATTAACTGTCCTTTTATTCCGAAAGTTGTAAAAAAAAGCAAGGGAAGAACATATAATAAAGCCTTGGTGGGCAGGAGTGAATAAACACAGTTATAGAGTAAGGGATACAAGAAGTAAAGTACAAGTGTCCGCAACAAGCCAGGAATCATTTCATTGGTCAACACTACAGCTGGCATTCTTTTGGATGGGGGATTTTGACAGGGTTATTGCACAAAAAATCTGAGAGCAGAGAGAAAATCTGAGAGTGAACCTTTCATGAGCGTGCAGAAGCAACCTAAGTGTGAGGAGAAGGGTTGAAGCTAGGACGAAGGGAACAACATCTGAGGGCAAGCATACAGTTCGAGCAGAAGCAGATCAAATCTAAAAAAAAAAAAAGCCCCATACATTTGGTGGTAGTAACAGGCAAAGAAGCATATCAATGCACCCGCAAAGGCAGTGAAGAATAAGACTGCAAGCTAGCAATCAGTGATAGAAGACGAAAGGAAATGCACTAAACATGTTTTGTTAGGCCTCAAACATGCATATATTGTGTTTCTGATGAGCAATAAGACGACTTGGTTTCGGGGAAGAACATGGTTAAGGCTTGGGGTAAGATGGTAGAGAGTACCACAGTCTCCTGTTTTGATGTCACATATTTTTTTATGTGCAGCCATCCTCCGTTTCCTTTTCGTCAAGTAAATGTGCAACAGTAAAAGAAGAGTTCATTTGCAAAAAGCCATCAAAATAAATCATAAAATAATCAAAAATGATTAAACCAATACTATTGATTGATATTCCCTGGAGGGCACAAAAAACTACACGAGTGAGGAAAATAAATCAAAACTGTGTTTTTGCAGATAAACACTACTGCCATTGCCATTGCCAGATACCGTTTGAACAACTGACCAGTGCTGTTTGTCAGTTAATCCATTATGTAACCCCGTTCTTCATCCCCTTTTTAAAACCAAAGCCCTATGTTTAGTACAGTATTACTTCTGGATTCTACAAATAAAGTGTGACCTTTTTTTTTATTTATTTATTTATTTGTTTATATTTTATTGTCCCTTGGCTTCTTTTCATGGCACAAACAATGGTGCCTGTGGTGCCTGGAAGCACTGGGCACCAACACCCAGAGCTTAGAGAACAAAAAAGGTTTTTGACAATACCCTTTGTTTTTGTCTAGATTTATGGTGAGACTCTTTACTGAATATAAAGGCTTATATATTTTGTGATG